GAACAACTTTCTATTAAGAAGAAATTCTGTATCCATCTCTTATTGTTTTCTTCATCTCCATTTTTTAAACAGACACATGCATAAAGGCAGATCCTCTGTTTCCATGGAGTTCATCTGCTCCTCCTGCTTATTCTCTATCTGAATCCACAGTTCTCTCTTTATGATATCATCAAGTCTACAGACACTAAAAAGGATCTCATATAAAAGGGACACTACTGCAATATGAAAACCCAAGAAATTTGGGACTAGACTGTTCAAGGCAAACAACACTGATTCCCTTCCAAATATGCATTATGGGGCAAATCTTGACCTGGCTGGTACTGCAAGGTGAACATAGCCACTTTCAGATGAGTCCATGCTTCAGAAATGCTGCCAGTTGGCACAGGAGTCCATTGGATGGGCCAGAGTAGACATGCAGTGCGGTCCCCTTTTCTGGTGCTTTAAGCATCTTCCACTCCTACCTAGTGCCTGCTGTGACCATTAGTATATGTGCTAACAATCTAGGATTGGACAACCATCCCTAGCCACCAGACCACATATGTGGATCTTCTCTGTACCTCAGCCCCTCTATTTTAATACTTAAACACTGTTGCTTACATGTGGAGAAGGAGCACTCTCTTTATAAGCCTTCCCTCCTTGTGTGGTAGCACAGAGAGGACAGGAAGTTACCTCATCAGTGGTTCTTTCATTATGCTGTTGGATCAAATAATTCAGGGCAATGTGACATACGATTCAGCAAATATATTGTAGTATAACAGTGTCCTGCTGTTTAATCGCTCTAAGCTTTAAAAGAAGAGTAGAAACTTCCTGCTTCCATGGTTAGATTACAAAAAACATGGCTGGCTCCATTTTTAAATAAAAATGCAAAGTGAAAATTCTTCAGGACCTGACTGTGCTACCCTCACTGCCACAGAGTAGTCCCTTGCTCAGTGAGTAGTCCAGTTGATTTCAATGAGACTACTCACAGAGTTAGGTACCACTCAGTAGATGGGTTGTACAATCAGGATATCTGTGTCCGTTTTTTTCCTGTTTAGGCATGCAGGTATAGATTCAGTGTCAGCCTCCACAAAATCATGTACAACCATCACTGAAGTTAATGGGAGTCTCATACACTTAAACCAGGGATGACTTTGGTAAACAGCAAGCAGTAGAGCTGGATTTGAACTATTAAGGGCTAAATTTTGACTTGGACTACACAGCTATGAAGGATAGTAAAGGGAGTTGGAACCTCCATTACACCTTTGCAAAGGCTACCCAGACCTAGTAACTGGGCAAGGAGATAAAAGAATGGACTGCTACATCCTTGTTTACCACCTTGTAGGCTAAGAGGACGGGGTCAGGGAATGGGTAGAATCTGAACTCTATTTTCCAATACACTAGCCAGCATAGATATGCCAGAGCAAGGGTGCCATAACTTACTGCTGGCATAAACTGGCAGCAAATTGCTATTTCCCACCACCCATAGACAAAGGGAAATCAGGAAGGGAATTGGCTATGGCACAATCCCTCCTGCAGCCTGTGCTCAGGCAAACTCAAGCCTAAATTATGAGAACTGAAACCTCATTATTAGGATTGCAACCACATGTGTCTCTCTCAAAGTAGATCTGATAACTGCATTAAAATTTTCAAAAAGTTATGCCTCTGTCTTATGACAGGGACAGATGTGGATGTTCTACTTTTTAGTTACACTTTTTTTAGGTTAACAATATATGCTAGGTTTTCTTTTATTATGAAATATGGCTAATAATGGAAGCTAATTTCCATTTCTGAAAGAAAAATGGTCCCTGACAGACCAAAGCAATACAAAAATTCTGGGCTTGTCCAGATAGACTAAAGGATAGCTGATCACAGAGGCAGTTTCACTGTGGGTAAATCTGGCCTCATTAAACTCAGCTGAAGTGCTGCCAATGATTTCAACGGGAACATCATATTACCTGGGGCAAGATCCCCCCAGTTCACTCCCTCCAGACTGGGAAATTAAGCTACAAACTTCTGCAATTCACAGGTTTGACTTTAGTTCAATACTTGCTGTCTTGTTCTCTCAAAAGCAAACACAGGGTTAACCAATGACCAGGCACTTCTCATGAAGCAAAGTATTATTCGGTCAAATCAAAACCATTACAGAAAAAAATATTTCACGCAAACAACAAATAGCTTATACACATGTCTAGCTTACCAGGTATCACCCAGCCTCCACATGGAGATTCTGGATCAAGTGTGAAAATAACTTCTCTCCTCAGTCAGGGTGGTCACTTTATATGGCTTTCAGTTCTTTATTTGTCTGGCCTCGTGAACCACGTCAAACCAGTATATGTAATTTCCCACCCCGGGATGAAACTTCTTCAGACTTATTACCTGCCTTAGGGATGTGCATTAATTATTCCCTAGTTATTATAGTTCCTGAGGAAACATTTTAGCACCCCTATTGAGTCAGGAATATAATCCCTAGCCCATAAAGACACATATAACATTTATAAAGTTGGAATATTCATAGACTATTGTATCATGTGCTGACAGCATCTATCACAGTCACCATATTTTCCCCAGCAATTAGTGTATTTGACTATATCGGAATGGTAGATGGGTTGGTTGTAAAGAAAACACAGTATCATGTTTTCTTCCTTTAAAAACAGAAACAAAACACAATAGCAAGAAGAGTGCTGTAATTTTAAAGATTTTCTATAGGAAGCAGTCTGTTATAATGAATAGAAGTTTCAGTCTTGCATACTTATAGATGTATTGCCTCAATACAAGCACAAAATGCATTAGAAAATCCTGACTGGCTGCAATGAAGGGATAAAAGCTAAGTGAACAAAAATAGAATCTATCATAGGGAACAAAGACAAAAAGAGGAAAAAGGAAAAAATGGGGAAGGATTTATTTTAAAAGGTTGAACTGTGATGTACATTTGAAGTTTTGAAAACTGGTGAAATATCTTATAGGGCTGACCTAAATTACTCTTCAAATTTGTTTCTATGGGGCTTTTTGGAAGGCAAATAAGTAGAGGTTACAAGTGTTCATACTTATTTACAGGAGTAAAACTATTTTTGTGTATTTAAAAGGAGAATTGGCAAGAAGTTTAAAGTCACCACTTGACCTCTCAAGCCTATCTGGTTGAGAACTGGCTCTAATTTCAAAATGCCTTTTTTTAAAACCCAGCAATCTGTTGCTGAGAATTTTGTTTTAAACATGAGGAACCTGGGCAGAATTGAAATTTGCCCTTACAAAAGCACTAGGGGATTTCATGATGATTTGCATCATGGGTTTCAGTGCCAGGGTTGGGTGGGCCTAGAAAGAACAGTCTTCAAGGGACTTCTACTCTCTACTGCTCCCGGGCTCCCACACAGATAGGGAGCAGGGCAGGAACTTTTCAGTTTTTTCAAGTTAGTTTGGTCCCATCCATATATCAGTCAGTGAAGCTCAGAGAGCACGGAAGGGGACTGGCACAGATTAGTGGCATAGTCCTTCCCCTAGAAGCATTAGGAAACTAGGGAGGAACTTGTGAGTCAGAGTCATAGCTTCCTGGTCTTTTCCTGAGGTGTCATGGATATCTAACACCTCTCACTCAGAGGGTGGAGAGTGGGGGTTTCAATATTACAGTTTAGCCCTATTTTATTATAGGATTCACAAAAAACAGTATGCTGCCTTTTCCAGCTGTCTTCCCAGTAGTAGTTAAATAATAAAACACCACCCCCAAAGACAAAAGTGGCCTAAGTAATGATGATAATGACTACAATGATGCACAAGCAAGGAAACTAAATAGAAGAATCAATTAAATTTCATCTTCATTAAAAAGAAAGGAGAAAAAAATGTTGGATAAAACCATGGCAGAAGTGATGGGGACAGAAATGTTTTCAGATTTATAACAGAACATATATGAAGGAAAAGCAGTTCATTTCCAGCCCCTCCCCCCCCCCCCGCCCCACACACAACTTTTTTGTGAAAAACAGTTTGTTACAGAATCTTTGGGGAAAAAAACCACACCTCGTTTTAGCAGCACATATTGTACATGAACTATGCTCTGGTTAAATTCCTCTTTCTGCACCTGCAAACAGATGCTATCAAAATTAGTTACTTGCTAATTCACAGGGCCAGATTCTGTTCTCAGTTAAATTGATGTAATCCTGGAGTAACAATGTTTAAGTCAATGGAGTTGTTCCAAAGTTACACTGATGTAACTGGTAATCTAGTTCATTATGTGTCAGTGTTTCTTAATACTTCTACCGAAACCCCTGCTCCAATGAGTCCCAGAGTTTATTGTAATAAGACTGAAAACTAAGAATATACAGTATATAAAGTTGTATCTATTGCCATGAAGAAGCCTAATAATCCTGACAGAACCCACACAGAGAACGAGTGAGATGTCATCATTTGCACACTATCAACATACTAATCCGAAGGCATCAGATTCAAATTCATTAAGTCTATATAGAGTCGACAAGCAATGGGGAACCAGAAACATTATCAACAGGAGACTAACCTTTTTGATCATCTTCTTATA